TCGACTTACTCGAACGTAACAATACATTGAACAAATTACTACGTACACGTTAGTGGTTACATGTTAGAAACTTGTTCGGAATGAGTTAGTCCACCATCCACGAACAGATCGAATTTAGTCATGGAATACCGAAAGTGCTTCTTCGATAATGTTGTTAACGAAGCTTTACTACTACTCTGAAGCGTATTGCGAATAATTGCTATTGCCGATCGTTTCCTATATCTAGAATACGCTATTAAGTTGTTTTCTTTTTTTATTTTTATTTTTATAAGAAAGAAAAAAAAAATTCCTTTAGCATAAGCTACACCCTACAAATATTTATAATAAAATATTTATATTGAATCTACTTCTTCTTCTACTTTTTCTTCTTCTTCTTCTTCTTCTTCTTCTTCTTCTTCTTCTTCTTTCTCGTCGTCGTTAAACAGTTTGTGCAAGCTCGTGACTTTATTTGTAAGTATAATAATAATAATAATAATAATAATAATAATAATAATAATAATAATAATTTCAAGCTTTCAACGTTACAAGTTTAAAAGAAGAAAATTATCTTACGTTCGCAAATTAAAAAAGACGTTTGATGCTAAACGTCAAGATCGAAAATCCTAGCAATTCGTGACGGTAATGAGGGAAAGATCGAATGGAAACGTTCTAGAAGATATAAGCATCATTTCGTTTCGCAAACAAGTCGAGGTCGTTCGTTCGTTCGTTCGTTCGTTTCACCCTTCGTTCATTCGTTCATTCGTTCGTTGGCTCTGTTAATTCTTCGAGTCGCGCATTTTAATAAAAGCAATCGAGAAAGTTCGAAGAAGAAGCGCGAGAAAAATAGTCTCGTAAAATTCCAAAGAACGTACGACGACGACGACGAGAAATCAAAGAAGGAAAGAATCAACTATCCATAATCGAACCAGTTTATCTACTCGTACTTTCTTTCAAAATTTAGAAAAGAAACTCAAGTTTTACAGTTAAAGATATAAAATATCTAACAAACACGATAACTGAATTGATTCATCCTTCTCGTATTCTAAAATTAAATGATGAATAAATCTAATGTACAATTATTTTCAACAAAATATTTCGATACTTAGATATTAACGCCATGGCACCGCAGCAAAAATTCCATTAATGCGCCAATAAAGAGCAATCTTGTTGTTTGCACACAACAACCTTGTTGTTTGCACACAGCAACCATCAGGGTTTCGTCAGAGTTTCGTCAGGATTTCGTCAGGGTTGCGTCAGATTTGCGTCAGATTTGCATCAGGGTTGCGTCAGGGTTATGGCGACAGCATCAGGTGAAAGAAAATATAAACTGTTTTGAATCTATGTTAAATTCTATATCGGCCCGATTATTTTCCATCGAAATGCGATTGACTACTTTTTATAAATAAAATTTTGTGTATTTTCAAAGTGTTTTGATTTTAAATAAAATTTTTTATTCTTTGATTTGTCGCAACAATTTAAGGTATAGATTAGCGCATTAGCGAAATTTTGCTGCGATGGCGTTAATACGTGGCGTAATATTTCTTACAGCTTGAGATTACATTTAAAAAAAAATATTAACAAAGTAAAATACTTTCTATCTCTCTCTCTCTCTCTCTCTCTCTCTTTGATTACTTTTTCATATTTGGATATATTATAGAATTGTTAGAACGAGTTATATACTGTAGTAAATATTTAATAGGTTACATAAATGAAAATACAAGTGGAAGTGGAATATGGGTGCACTAAAGAATTTTAATCTCGGTAAGAAAAGAAGGAGGAGCAGGAGGAGGAGGAGGAGGAGGAGGAGAGGCATTGAAAGGATTGCCAATGAGGGGGCCCCTTTTCCTTGGTATTTTGAATTTAAAGATAGTTCATCGCGATTACCCCTCTTCAATTCTGCGCCAAGGGAAATACCATAAAAAACACTATCAAATCTCTAATCAAGAAGTTTCGAGGAGAGCACGAAACTTCTTAGAGGAAAAGAGGGTAAAAAGATCAAGAGTAGTAGTATGGGTAAGAACGAGAGACGAGACGGTGAGTTTAGTTTCGACGAAGAAGAGAAGCAAATCGAGAGAGAGAGAGAGAGAGAGAGAGAGAGAGAGAAAGAGGGAGAAGCAAACAAAAGAAAAAGAGAATGAGAAAGAAGAGAATATTACGAAGAAAAGCACCTGAGTGGTCTGCGAGCCCGATTTAGCACGAAAACATGTTATTCCTTTTGTTGCTCCCACACACACACATATACACGAGAGTAATATCAAGGCCCACACTTTCTTTAATGAAATATTTAAAACTCTTAAATCTAATAAATAAGAAATGTATTTCCCTCTCGTGTTAGAATAATATAATTAATATATATATATAGAACTAAATTAAAAAAATTAAATTAAATATAATATATTATTTATAGTATTATATATATATTAATTAATTATTAATAATATATATAAATATATAAATAATATATATATTATATATATATTATTATTAATAATTAGGGGCCAATTGAAAAATTGGCCCTTAATTATTTAGAAAAAAATAAAAAAATAAAAAAATAAAAAAAAAATAGGAAGGAAAAAAGTGGTTGAAGTTTCGTAGATAAGCCGATCGGTTATTAACTGGAAAATGGACATCATTCGACCGATCGAACGTTTTCAACGATAAATTATTTTTCTTGAGGGTCTCTTCGCCGTTGGGTAATTAGATTTATTAAGTCGGTCCTGTTTACACGAAGCCTCGGGCGCGTGATTTATTGAAGAGGACCCTTCAACGAGAGGAGAAACGTCGTTGGAAGAGGACGGTGAAGGCGCTTGTTACGAAGATTATGAGGTGAATTCTGTCTCCCCTCTATTTCATTTCCCGCTACTACTACTATTATAACTACTACTACTACTACTACTATACTATTACTGCTACTACCATTCCTGTTCCATCGACTACCCTCTCTTCCTTCTCCTCCACTAACTTTTCTCGTCCTTCCTCCCCTTCCTTCGTCACTTCGTTTAATCAACTTCAATAAGCCTACTCCTGTAAGTAGACTAATCTCACTTTGAAGGGAAACAAGCTAACGTTCATTCTCTCTCTCTCTCTCTCTCTCACTTTCTCTCAATCTCTCTTGATATTTCATTGGGCAAATTTCTATAAAGAAATTGCAGAGTAGGAAAATGATCAAACGTCTATGTATTGTATCTACTTTCTATAAAACAAACTTTCATAATCTTCAAATATTATTGTTAACCCTTTGCACTCCGCACGATTCCCAACGTTGGTTAGCAGCTACTCTGCGCCATAGAAATGGCACATTTACAGACCCCTCGTATTATTTAGTATAACTTTGGAATCAAGTAACGGATTTTAATGATATTGGGCTTATATTAATCTGTAGACATTAAGGAACATATTTACCTAAAGAACTTTTACCAAAAAAATCTTATTTACCAAGAGAATGTATATGTGTAATAAGGCTTAATTAAGACACTCGCCAGAAGAAACGGCCCCGTTGTAAACGCGCCGTTTCTTAGACTCGTGTCTCAATTTTGAAGCCCTGTTAATGCCTCACTTCGCACATATGTATCGAAAATATCTATTGATTCGATGTCTCTTGTGCTATTTTAAAAGAAAACATCAGGAAAACATGCATGTCTCAAAAAGTTGTGCTGAAATAATTTAATTTCTCGTAATCACTAATAAACTTTAATGTCTCATACGTTGATAGGCTAGAATCACGATGTCTCATACGGTGAGAGACAACAGACTGCAAAGGGTTAATATCATAACTTTAAACTTTCAACGTCAAAACTAATTAATATCAACCAAAACCTAGCACACGATGAAAATTATTTCTACATTTCTAAAAAATCTACAAAGATTTTCTTTCCTCCCTATCGAAATATGGATAAAGGGGAGAAAAAATAATAAATAGTGCGGGTTTATACAAAGTTATAGGAAAAATTGCGTTCTCCTTTGTACGAAGTTAAAATCGCTTGATTCAAAGAGCGTAGGCAAGTGAATGAATAAGGGTTAATAGTGTGGGAAACACGGTTAGGAAATGGAAGGCGGTGAGTCAGTTTAAGCGACGAGCGCACCCAAAGTTATCTGCCGAGCTAAACCCAAAATCTCCCTCATAAAAGTGGTAAGGAACCCCTGTTTGGGAAACAATGGTGCACTGCTACTGGAATCTCCGGGTGGTTCGTAAAAGTTCGGTCGAGCCGAATAAAGTAAGAGAGAGAGAGAGAGAGATAGATAGAGAAAAAGATAAAGAAAAAGATAGTAACAGAAAATAGAAAAAAAGAAAAAAAAACAAGTAGTCCAGTGAGATATAGAGAGAAAAAGAAATAAAATAAAAAGAAGGAACGAAAGAGATTGAACAGAGAATACCAGAGAGAGGATTCGTTTTTAACCTCTGTGAAAGCCGTCCAATAAATATCGTCGCTCGTTATTAGCGTTTTAATTCAGTCCAGTGACGGTAACTTAATCCACGTGGCTGCCGAATAATCGAGAAAACGTTTGTGGGCTACGGACGATTGTGGAAGAAAAAGTCTAACATTAAGCCGGTAGCACCACCACCACCACCATTGAGAGAGAGAGAGAGAAACCAGCCGGTTGTGGGAGCAGAGAGAAGCACAAATTAAAAACTTCAGGAACGGTGTTCTATTCGCGTTAGTATGCGCGTTAGTATATGAACGTATCCAGTCTACAACCACCAACCCTCTTCTCTTTTAGTATGCATAAATGCTTCAAATAAATCATGCAGAAGAGCTGCGAAATTATTTGACAACTTAGAAAATTCCCCTAGGCAATACCACTTCGCTTGACTAATTTTAATATGCGCAAATCACGTGCCTGATGTTTCTTTTCTTTTTAATAAAACTCGCGCGATACTCGAATTATTTCACGATGATGATGATGATGATGATGACGAATACTACTACTACTACTTTTAAAAAAGGATTGAAATTAATCTTACTTACTCCTTTCTTTCTTTCTTTCTTAAGAAAAAAGAAATAATAAAACAACAAACTTACCACTTTGTCGGCCAATTTTCTCACTCTGCATGGCAGATACACAGTTTGTCCAACGAAGGCCGTAACATTTGAAGCAGTCGGCTCGAAAATAGGCAAATCCGTGTCGACGTAATCGTTAGTGGTGGGATCGTTTACATTCCTACGAGAATTTCCTTTGGACATTTCGCGTACATGAGCAGGCTCTGTAACAAAATGAAATCGTTTCACAATCCTCTACATTCCTACGTCTTAAATATTGCTGAAAAATCATGTTGCTTTTAGTAAAAGAAAACGATGTCCCCCTACCCCCTCTCCTCTCCCCTCCCCCAACCGATCGTTAGTTTGAAACGGAAACGTAAAGAGAATTTCCGGTGAACTCGAAAGCTTCCTCGACCATCATCACCCCTGTCTTACCCCCCTCCCCCCTCCCTCTTGCCCCTATCATACACGCGTTACATAATTTCTAAGAGTTTCTAGAACGCAGTCATCGAACTCCAGTCTCATTCAAATGGCTGTCGGTCTATTCGAATCGCTTTCTCTCTCTCTCTCTCTCGTTAGTATACCTTCGAGCGGTTCTCCATCATCATCGATCATCATCAGCGTGAGCGACGATACCATTGGTGTTTGACAGGGATTGATTTGAAAGGAAAGTTGGTAATAAAACCTGAGAGAGAGAGAGAGAGAGAGAGAGACTGTGACTTCGACTAATATACTTTGAGAAAAGTGACGTTCCCCAAGCCTATAACTATCGTCTTTTCTCTTCTTTTTGTTTTTGTTTCCACACTTATATTTTCCGAATAAAACGAGTTTTGTTTGCATCGTTGAACCGTAAAATCGAAAACAAAAGGGAAGAGAGAGAGAAAAAAAGAGGGTTTTTTTTTTTTCAACGCCTAACGATATTTCCACGCACGTTGTTAACACTTTCCCATGGCGATCGATTAACTACTAAAATTAACGAGGAAAAAATAAATGTAGAAAAGAAAAACAAAGGTAATAAAGAGAGAGAGAGAGAAAGCGAGGGAGAGGGAGATAGTGAAAGCCTGGGAATCTCGCGAACGCGTGTAACATTTGGTAATATCCGACAAATACAAGCAGGTAAATCCTCATACGTCAAGTGAGAATGCACGTTCGCTGAATTGTCAAACGAACCTGCGCAGAACGATATACTGACATCGTAATTTACTGGATCGACCATTTCGCATAAACAACATCCTTCATCCAACGCGTAGTCGCACGCCCATCCGACTATTCCTCTTCCCCCACGACGTGAATTCGCGCGAGCGTTCTCGCAAATACGCATACGAAGAGAAACGAGGATATATATATATGTATAGACAGAGAGAGAAAGAGAGAGAGAGAGAGAGGAAGACAAAGAGAGGATGAGAGAGAGTGAGAGTGAGACAGAGAGAGAGAAATCCTGCCGACTCTTCGCAGAGTCTCCTGGCGCACAGATAACGCCCGTATACGCAGCATCCACTAATCGCGTTATACAAATGACTAAAATTCACCCTTGAGCCTGAGCGTTACCACGAACCTGAATTTCATGAAAGTTCTTGCAACGCTCCCGATAACGTTAGATTAATCGACAGAAAGCTACCGCTATCGTGAATGGAAATGAAATATATTTCGCGCGCGTATGTAATATAATTCATCTAACAAATAGCCCCTCCTTTCCTTTACGTACAAACATCTACCTCTTTCTCTGTCTCTCTGTCTCTCTCTCTCTCTCTCTCTCTCTCTCTCTCNTCTCTCTCTCTCTCTCTCTCTCTCTCTCTCTCCTCTACTACTCCTATATGACGGGGGCGTGGTACACGATTTGTATATACGTTTTACAGAATTACGTACTTTTACAATCTTAACTTTCTTACGACGTCTTGCACACTTATATAGATTTTGATAAAAAAAAAAGACCTTACAGAACCTAGATAATCTCTAAATAAAAATCTTTAAATTAGTAATAAAAAATAATTTTACAAAAAAATTGTGCTATGTGTTAAGTTGAAAAAAATCACGTGATATAAATTTCATTGAGATAAGTTGAGTAATTTCGGAATTATTAATGGACAAACATATTGTTACACTGAATTTTGATATATAAAATTTTATTAATTAATTACTTAACTATATAGAATTAAGTTATATATTGAATTTTATTAATTAATTAATTATTTTTGTTTCATCGGGGTTTCACGGTTTCTTCCGTTTCATGTTCTTCCTTCCGTTTCACGATTCGCCCTGATTCTAAAGAAATTTTCACTTCAAAATGTCTTCTTATTCCAAGTGAATAAACAAAAATACCAAAAAGCAAGGGAAATATCTCGAATTCCACGGGATATTCTTTGGAAAGGATGGAAAGAAAAAAAAAAAAAGAAATTGAGAGAAAAAGGAAAGAAGTAAAAAAAAAGATGAAGAAAATGGATAATGCGCGTATAGTTTTTATCTTACGTTCTTGAAAAATAATAAAAAAAAGTAATAGAAAAAATGAAAAAAAAAATGAAAATGAAAAAAAAAAGAAGGAATAAAGTATTATCTTTACATTTCTCTTTCCGCCGACATATTTCTCTGGGCGCCTGCCTCATCCTCTCTCATTCTCTCTCACACTCTCTCTCTTCCTTTCTTGCTATCTCTCTTTTCGTGGCGCCCTTTTAGAGCACGCGCCACGCGAGAAAGTGCCCGTTCTACTGGTGCTGGTGCTGGTGCTGGTGCTGCTGGATGACGAATGGCATCTAAATCCACGGTTTCCAACGTATGGAACGAGAGAAGAGCAAGAATAAATTTCGGTTCGGGTAACGAGTAACGACGCGTGTCCGAGTTTCGTTTTCTCCTATCTGTGTGTGTGTGTGTGTGTGTGTGTGTGTGTGTGTGTGTGTGTGTGTGTGTGTGTGTGTGTGTGTGTGTAAATGTGTAAGAGTGCGAACATACACAAATATCCAACACTCGGCACGTTTGAAGAAAATGAAAGAAGAAGAAGAACGTATTAGGTAGATAGGTGACTTTGAATAAGTGTGTATGCATCTTGTTCGAACGTTCAAAAACAAAAAAAAACATCAAATAAAAATCTAACAAATTTTTACGAGTTATTTAGAATGAACGTGCATTCGTGAAAACCACGAAACCGCCCTTTCCAAGTGGTACAACCATCATACACGCACGCACGTACGCACGTACGCACATCCTACCAATATTTTGCCATGAAGTCCGCCGAGATTCGACAGCCTTAAACCACCGCCGCGTAATTTCTACCCATTTCCTGACGCACGAAACAATACGAACGAAAGTTTACGACTCCGCTGGACCACCGAGAGTATCATACATTTTCAACGTACCGCTCGTAAACTGTGGTCAAGCGTTACCTAACAGTCGCCAGGCCGCTACGACGCTATACAACTAGCTTATTCGATCTTTATTATATTTATTTAATGACTTTTTCTTCTTCTTTTTTTTTTTTTTTTAACGTACCATCATCAATTGTCAATTTCGCGATCGGTCAACAAATTTTTATTACACAAATGGTGCACATTTTTTGTTATACGTTATATTAACGTTTAGCAAAAGTGAAACCTTCAAAAAAGCAACTTCTATAAGTAAGATAATTTATTATATAATATTATTTTTACTTTTGTTTGTAATTATTTATTTAAATGATTATAAAAATGAACGCCTGTACGAATGCAACCCTCCAGACACACTTTGATAATGTTGCTTGCGAACGCCATCTACTGAGACGGAATTTTTTTCTACCCGAAAGATAGGCAATCTGTAATACATACGTGTATAAACAGTTTGAACATACACAAAATTTCGCCCCAGTAGATGGCGCTCGCAAGCAACATTGTCAAAGTGTGTCTGGAGGGTTGCATATCCACAGGCGTAATGTTTTTATAAATAATGATTAAAATTAAACTTTAATTTTGTAATTAATTATGCATATTGTTAGAATAATATTTAGTAAATTACATGAAAAGTAAATCTTGTAAAGATTGACGTTGACGTATAATAATATGAAACATTCGCAAAAAAATTAAATGGCATACTCGAGTTGAGCGATTAACTACCACCGGAAACTCATGGGGACCTTCTTAGAAGTTCTTGAAGACGAAGGGAAGTCAGATGAAATTTCCTAGAAGACTGAAATGATCTTCACGCCCTGCAAATGGCAACATAACTCGACTAAAAGTGCGTGTGTTCGACACGTGTACAATTTTCTTGTCCTACAAATATATGTGCATTCTATTTATATTTTATTTTACGAAAAAAAAAAAGAAAAACTTCATGAAGTAAACGAATAATTTGATGAATTCTAATTAGCCACAGACGATAAAGAAAGAGATTTCATTGAAGAATTTCTAATGAATTAAAAAATTCAATGAACAACATTAACAATTATTTAATAAGAGACTACCACCAACCTATCATAGATAAAAAATGTTCCCTATAAAAAGGGTTTAACTTTATAAAAATATACTTTGATACCACCACCTTATATTTTTCTAACAAATAAAGTAGGAGATAAACACAAATAGGAAAGTGAACAAAGTAGAAGAAGAAGAAGAAAAGAAGAGAAGAAAAGAAAAGAAAAAAAAAAGAAAGAAAGAAAGAAATAAAGACGAAAAAGAAAGTACTATATTTCCTCAATGAATCTGCCGCAAAAAGCAGGTGTCTCGCTTAGAGAGTTTGTTGGTATGAAGGGAAAGATAAAAAAAAAAAAAAGAAAAAGGGACGAGAAAGAGAGAGAGAGAGAGAGGAGAGACTATGTGCTAGGTTAAAAGGCGACACGGAACGCTCTTAAAGGCTCGATCGTGTTTAAAAAAAGGATGGGAAAAAAGAAAGAGAAAGAGAAAAAGGGTTGGGTTGGGTTGGGGCGAAATAGGGGACGGCGCTAATAAAACTGGACTAAAGCCGGTCTCTCCAACTTTTGAGAAATGGCGAATAAAGGGAAGAAACGCGAGAAACAAAAGCGGAAACGGGAGTTGCAAAACGGAAACGGAGAAGAGAAAGATGAGATGTAGAGGAAAGAAGTTTCTCTTCTCGACCCGAAGGAATTCCACCCTTCTTTTTCTTCTCTCTCTCTCTCTCTCTCTCTCTCTTTCTCTCTCTCTCTGTTTCTCTCTTTCTCTCTATACCTCGCTTCTTTCGGTCCCGTAAAAATCTACGGTGCAGCATTGACTCCCGTATGTGCATACACTCTCCTTATACGTATACG